TTTGTAAAAATAACAAAAAAAGTCATCCCATGCTGGTTTTGCAGCAAGCATGCATCAAGGGTCCCAGCTCCACGGTTTAGCTGGAACCACGGGCATTTCGGGAGGGCACCAGGGCCACACAGCACTTAAGTCTGGTTCTCATGCCTGTCCTGTCCAGCAAGCGTGGGGGCTGAGGCAGCTCCTCTGAGAGGCTAGTGAAAGGGGCTTGCTTCACCCGTGACAATGCTTCTGTTTCCGCTGCTCATCCCAGCTCCCAAATGCATCCTGTCTTTGTTCCCTAGGTTACTGACTCATACAAGCAGTATGATTTTGGTAAAGTTATCAGGCTGTTAAAAGCTTTCTATACCAGAGAACTCTCCAGCTTCTACTTCAGCATAGTCAAGGACAGGTAAGTGTGACTAAGCACACAGCCCTAAGCAGCATCAAGGATGTCATGGTGGGCAGCTGGGCAATAATGACCCCTGGGATCTGGGGTCAAGCCTCACTTGGGCCCTGCCACTCAGTAGCTTCATGTTGGGGCAACTTTTGAGTGTAATCTCAGTGTGTCTGAAAAATGAGGAGCACTCAAGAAGCGGAGGCAGGACGATCTCTGAGTTCAAGACCAGCCTAGACTACAAAGAGTTCCACACCAGGCCAGCCAGGGCTACACAAAGAGATCCTGTATCAAAACCTACAGTGAATCACAGCTGCTGGTAGATGAACACTGTGCTGTCCTTGAGGGCAGACCCAGGACTAGACAGGCAGTTCTGTAATGACGCTGTCGTTTACGGTGCTCCCTTGAGCAGGTGAGGGAGCGGGCTTGGTGACAAGTCTGGCATGAGCTGTCAATCCCAACCTGTCACACGGCAGGCCCTCAGCAGCTTTAGCATAGGGTATACAACTCACATTCTTTTACTGGTAACCCTAATGGGATGGGAGTCATTTAAATGCTGCCAGTTGCTGTATTGGTTGTGTGCAAAGACGGTGTTGTAGATTGTTGTCCACCTTAAAGCCAGAGTTGGACAACCATGAGGAAACAGGTGCATCTTGAGAGAGTAAAATGGAATAGAAGTTGTCCGGAGCCAGCATGGAGTAGATGTAGCAGCAGTACTGGGCGTGCCTAGCCGGGGCATCGTGTCAGCTGCTGAGCAAGCTCCTCTTCCAGGCTCTACTGCGAAAGTGAGAAGGATCCCAAACGGCGCTCCTGTCAGACCGCATTGGCAGAAATTTTGGATGTGCTGGTGCGTTCTTTTGCTCCAATTCTTCCTCACTTGGCAGAAGAGGTATTCCAGCACATCCCATATGTCAAAGGTAAGGACAGCCGTTCTCTGCATGGGAAGGGTCGGGCAGGGGTAACGGCTTTATACACGTCAAACATACTTGCAGTGCCACTGCCATAGTGTTTTGGTCATTTAGTCTGCTCTGTGCCTTCTTAAGGAGTTGGCTGTCTGTGCCTTCAGAGATGTATTAAGCACTTGACAATATTGGGAAATTACTTTTGCCTACATGTGTTTATAGTGTTTCAAAATATATTTATAGCTTTTGGAAGGTGGGATATGAGACAGGGTTTCTCTGTGGCTTTGGAGGCTGTCCTGGAACTAGCTCTTGTAGACCAGGATAGCCTTGAACTCATAGCCTGCGTCTGACTCCTGAGTGCAGGGATTGAAGGTGTGAGCCACCCCTGCCCGGCTGTATTTTAAGCTGTATTCAAGCAAAATATGGTGCTTTGTAGTGATTACTTTTACTTTTTTTTCTCTGCTTTTATTTTCATAGAAAACTAGAACTTAAGGGGGTGGGGTAGATGATCACTCTAACCTCACCATCATAAGGAACAACTGTTCAGACTGGGCTTCCTTTTGAGTCTTGTATGTTTGTGTTGACAATGTGAACCCTTCGCTTGGGGACCCTGTGAACAGCACACCTGTTGCCTGAATGTCACATCCTATGTCACAACCTTGTCTCTCGTGAGTGATAGGTCTCCCTTGGTTAAAGCTTATATGCTGTCTAGACTGTAACTCGGTTCACTTTTCAGGTTTTTTTTGTTGTTGTTGTTGTTTTTTAGAACCCAAGAGTGTTTTCCGCACTGGCTGGATTAATACAAGTTCTATCTGGAAGAAGCCAGGCCTGGAGGAGGCAGTGGAGAGCACATGTGCCATGCGAGATTCCTTTCTTGGCAGCATCCCTGGCAAAAATGCCGCCGAGTACGAGGTTACCATTGTGATCGAGCCGGGGCTGCTGTTTGAGATCATGGAGGTATGCGGAATGGATGGTGTTGCTCGGAATCCCTACCTTGCAGAATGGTGGGAGCTTTGAGGCTTTACCTGAAATCTCTTCTTAATCTCAAGTGTTTAAGACTTTGTATTTAGAAACCAGGATTTCAATCTTGCAACACTGAACTTGTCACTGATTGTTCCCTGCTCTGAATTTGTGACCCATGCAGGGGTCTATTTAGGTCAGTGCCAGACACTTGGCAGTAGTGTCAGATTACATAAAAACCAGGAGTTTTACACTAAAGGCCTGGGTCTGTAAAAATTTATTCATCTGGTTCATATTCCAAATGAGTTCTTGACGCGCAGTGGTGGCGCATGCCTTTAATCCCAGCACTGCCTGTCACGACAGTTTCAGGGGATCCAACACCCTCTTCTGGCCCTAGGCCTGCATGTAATATATATGTATATATATGTGTATATATGTATATATATGATGTGTGTATATGTATATATGTATATATGTATACACACACACACACACACACACACACACACACACACACACACACACAGCAAAAAGTCAGGCACATAAAATACCTTAAGTCTTTAAAAATAAAAGGAACCATCTTATTTTGGTTGTTAATTCAATTCAAACATTTCAAGATTTGCGACTTGAAGTCACTAGAACATAGGACATTGTTGGCAGTGGTAAGAGTAGACAATGGCCATGCACACCAAATTAATCTGAGTCTCATGTTCTTTCATAGTAAAGGAATATTTATATTACGATCAAAATTAGAAAGGAAAAAAATCTCAAAAGTGCTTATCAAATAGCCTAGTCACTGTACACAGTGGAAAGGCCATAGTATTCAGATTGGTCTACAAATTGAGTTCCAGGACAAAAGAAACCTTGTCTCCATAAACAAACAAAGTTGGCAGAATTTTGGCTTGACAGACAAGGGTAACTTAACTTCTTACTTATTGCACTTACTTATCTATAAGTGTAATAAACACCATATAGATCGGGGTTTGAGGGGAACCACAGTTTTCAAAGTAAAAGTGTATACTCCAGTAAAGCCTAAAATTGATGGTCAAGTTTCAATTGAACAGTAACTCTCACGTGCATTCCAGATGCTGCAAGCTGAGGAGATTTCCAGCACGTCTCAGCTGAATGAGCTAATGATGGCCTCCCAGACAACACTGCTGACTCAGGAGCCACGGGAAAGAGCTGAAGATGGAATCGAGCTCACAGGGTCGTTCCTCATCAACCTGGAGGGTGAGAGCAGTGAGTGGGGCCTGCAGAGCTGAGGTCCCCAGCTTTCCATGGGACTGGGTTACTAGTAGTAAGGTAGTCTGTGACCTGCTCTCTGATCAAGACCAAGCGGGGCAGGGAGTTCCTCCTCACCCCCGAGTGACTGTCACCGGGAGTCTTCCCCTCGCATTCTGTCCTCTCATATGTCGTGCCTACTACTACCCAGACCCACCCACCCTTCCTATACAGACTCTAGAACTTCCTTGTATGAATACCCACAACTCCATTCTTACAAAGGGTTCAGTAACATTTGCCTGGTGGTTTTTTTTTTTTTTGGTTTTTCAAGACGGGGTTTCTCTGTGTAGCTTTGGAGCCTATCCTGGCACTCGCTCTGGAGACCAGGCTGGTCTTAAACTCAAAGTGATCCGCCTGCCTCTGCCTCCCGAGTGCTGGGATTAAAGGCGTGCACCAACGCCCGGCTCAGTTTCTGGCGTATTTATCACAGGACTTTGTACACTGTCTACAGAGCTCTTTTACCTGACTCCTCTTCATTAACCAGAATGGTGGAGAAGAGTTGGTTCCATTTGTGTAACTTAAGTCTTTAGTGGCATTACCAGAGTCGCTATAACTTCACTTAAAATCCTGAGTCAAGAGCTGGGCATGGCAGCATACACCTTTAGTTCCAGCACTGAGGAGGCCTCACTCTGTGTATCTGCTCATCAATTATCAAGTTGTTTGATCCCGTGCTGTTGACAGTTCATGTTAAGGGGCAGAACCTGGGCCGGGTTAGAAAGTGGGAAGGGAGTAAAGCCTTGGGAGGGAGTGCTCGCGGAATCAGTGCAAGCTTAATGACTGTGGAGGTGCTTCTGTGTATTCTTTTTAAGGTGGTGACATTCGTGAGGAGTCTTCCTATAAAGTCATTGTCGTACCAGCTGCCAGAGAAAAGTGCCCTCGATGTTGGAAGCACACTGCCGAAACTGCAGATACTCTCTGTCCTCGGTGTGCAGAAGTCATTGGTGCAAAATAGCATTCTGATGTTAACCACTCTGAGCAAGAGCCTCCTCAGGGCTACCTGAGGGTGAATTATTAGAACCCTAGAAAGAAACCCAAGGGTTAGGTAAGGAGTGGAAGAGTAAATGGTAAAAGAGAAGATAGGGATAAAAATCAGCATATTAAAAGGAGTATTTCCTGTAACTAACATACACACACACTCATGATGGACTTCTGCAGAGTCAGGCACTGAATATGGTTACTTTCAGTGTGGCCAAAGAGAATATTTTGTATTTTATTGAAACTTTTGACTCCGTATTTAAGTTCTATGATGTCTGAAAATAAAGGCATTCTGGGAAACTCCCAACTGATTGTGGTGTAGAAGTTGTGGATAATGAAGAGTATGTGATTTTGCAAGGGAATTGAAGAGTTGTGTGCCCACACAGGTGAAGGGAGTCAAAACATCGTTTGCAAGGCAGCTGAGTTTAGAATGTACCACAAAGAATATCAACAAACTTATTATTCAAGAGGGGAGAAATCGCTTTGTCTTACATGTATGAATGTCGAAATAACATGAAATCTGAAAATTTATTTCACTAATATACATAAGTTCACAATAATGAACAGACATGGAAAATAACGGTATATACAGAATTCACTGCTTAACATTACATTGACAGTAGCATTGACAGATTGCAAGCAATCCAATACTGGATTGATCTCTAAGGATGGCTAATCTACTAAGCAGAAAAAGCTGCCTAGCAAACCCATCCCTGAGAGGTGAGAGGGCTTTCACTGTTGCTATAGTGCACTGTTAATACGTGTTTCTTCACGAAATGGACAATAGCAACTTCTAAGTGAATGCTATAATCAATGTAAGCTTATTGTTACTAAGTCTTAGTTTTCCATGACTTTAAATCACAAGTAATCCTATTTTAAAAAGCTATTTAAACACAGCAGGCTTCACATTGACCTTAGATGACCTTTTTTAACGAGGTGAAGCTCTTTTCTGTTTTTTTGCTGAAGTGGGAAGCCTGGTGCTATGTCATGCTGTCGCTGCATTTAGCCGGGCCCCTCCACTTCTACTTCTAAGCACAGCCTGGGATAGAGACGCTCAGACTATTGAATACTTTCCTTAAGGAGGTAAAAATATCTGAGGAAGAGATGGGGGCTATCTAGAGCAACACTACTGGTCAAGGGCGTATGCTGTGCCCTTGTTGCAGGGAGACCAGCCCTACGTGAGAGCCAAACTCCTTTGTTTGTGGCACTTTGTTGTGAGAGAATTGATATATAAATGTTCATTTTTCTTCATCAGATTTATTTTAAAAGCCCTTAGTAAAGTAGTACAATATTTTACTCCTTTTGTTAAACTCAGAATTTAGTTTGTATATTACATTTTTGGATGACAAATCTAACTTTGAGATTTAACAATTTGTGTTGTGGTTCTTTGTGACATACCAGAGTAAATTTAGCCAGTTTTATTTTCAAAAAATACAAGCCATGCCCATCTCAAAACAAGTAATGGAATTAGAGTAAAAAGTCCATTGTCATCATTAGCTGTGCCTACTTCTTCCAGAGCCCAGCAGGCATTGGGAGAATGGACCTCATAGGACCATGTAGAGGGTGGTACTTATGTCACTCAAGCTGTGCTTACAAAGATCGCAGCACATGGCCAGCTGCTCCTCACAGTCACCTGAGCAACACTTGAAACATTTCTCTTTGAAGGCATGAAATCTGATAGTTAACAGCATTAGGTTTAGTGAGTCACAATCTTCCTTAGATTTAACTTTTTATTGGAAGAGAATTCACATATGCTCGTGCTCGCTCAGGTTCAGACTTTGTGAGAGTCCTTCAGGGACCCCCAGTGAATGGTGGAGTTGCTGTCTTCCCTCTATTAGAATGATTGCTGGGAACAACTGTGATTGTGGCAGACCCAATCCCTGCACTGTACGGCTGCCGTCCAGAGATAGCTAACCAGCAGCGAGTACTTGGTGGCTGCAGGGCCAAAGCACTGTGGCCAGACTGGGGGCCAATGGGTTTCATTCACTTTGCTCAGCACTTGGACTGCCCTAGGCACTACGGGCTGCAGAACTGGTTGCAGTTTGTTCTCTCCACCCAGCTGTGAGGTAGGTTTGCTGAGGCTGTCACAGCACAAAGTGTGTTCTCTGTCCTGCTCTTAGGACAGGCAACATGACCACATCCCAGAAACAGACATTTTGAACACTTGGAAGATAAATAAAGTTGGACTTTAAATATTTTAGAATCTTTGCTTTGTTCTTTTTTTTTTACATAAGTATTACAAGATAATACATTTTTTACAATTACCTGATGTGGATACAATTTTGGAACTTGGCAAAATAAAGAATAAATCTCACTTCACATTATAATTGATTTTGCTGCATTCTTCACATCTCTGATTCCCAATTCTGGCGAGTCCAGCAGGCCCGGGGTCCTTCTCCAGATCCCTTCTGGTGAGAGTAAAGCCATTTATCCTCTGATGGCAGCAGCAGCACCCAGAGCTCCCTGCCAGGTGGCATCCTGTTGCTGGGCCAAGTATAAGGACATCTCTGAATGTTGTAAAGGGATGTGGGCTGTATCTCCAGCGTGCTGATGGAAGCTGTATGAACACACTTAATCCCCACAGGAGCCACTGGGGTAGGAACTAGAATACTACAATAAGGAAGAAATCTGCAAAGTATAACCAGTTACAACACCAAAGTTTAACAATAAAGCTGCTTGTCTGAATGGAAAAAATAACAGTAAAGCATCTATTAATTATAGCACAGTTAATGTATTTTATCTTTAGTCTCAACTGAGGAAGTGGAATTTAACCAGGATTGCACTTTTTAAAAGTAATATATTTATTTATTATACAAAAAAAAAAAAAAACCCTCCAAAAAGTTCTAGGTCTTACTGTGTAAAATGACATGCAGTGAGATTTTAGACACTGTCATAGAGTAGCCATGGCTTCCACAGCTTCGATGAGGTGTAAAGCGAGGCTGTACTGCCCATGCCTCTCTGGCAGGAGCTCCATCACTTTATGTACCAGTTTAGCTGTTGCTGCAATGGGCACGTCAGTGTTCTGAAGGTCCTGGGGGTTCTGCGGATGGGACACAAAAGTCCTTTAGTTTCATACAGTCAAACATCAATGGCTCCTGCCTTAAGCTTTATTAGGGAAGCTCTCCCAGTAAGAACATTCTCTGGGATGAAGCAAATTTCTTGCTGTGAACTCCCTTCTGCCTATGCTCTCTGGCACTTACCATTGCCTTCAGCCAGGTGCACAGTGTGGGTGGGAGTCTGGCCAGCAGCTCCATGCCTTCTTTTGTCTGAGTGTGGAAAAGTGCATGAGCTAGCCTTTGCCCTGTCAACACAAGCAGCTGAGACGCCAGAACTTCTTTGTCGTGAACTTGCAGAATGGCCTGAGGATGAACATGGAGAAATAATACAGCAAGAGCTACTCAACCTGTCCCCTGAGGATGTCAGTGAAGAGACCCTGCTTCAGCTCTCAACATGGCCATGTGCGTGGACAAAGGAAAACTGAAATCCAACCTAGAATTTAAACCCAAATCTCTGCTCACCAGCTATTTTGTTTGTTACCTAAGTTTTTAACTAGGTATGACAGACAATATGCCTTATTTTCCAGTGTCAGGGATGATGTTAGACCCTGCAATCCTCCGGTGGCTGCTGAGTACACTAACCTCAGGCTTGGAGAGCAGCCAACCTCTTGTCACTCCTTGCTGGGAGTGGACGCCTACCCACCCATTACTCACTGCTGATGAGGTGTGGCAGCCACACTGGCTTTCTAGCCTTGGACCTTGCCATGCTGGCCCCCACCTCGGGACCTTTGTACTCTCTGTTCCTCCATCTGAGGCACTGTTCCCTCAGCGTGAGTGGCCAGTTGCTTCCTATCCTTGATGTCAGTTCAGCTATCACTTTCTCCCACGCACTGAGGCCCTGCTTATTCTACAGCTCTGTTCACTCGTCTCTTGGTACAGAGTTGTCCATGCTTTTCTGCTCCTCCAATTCCACATTGAGCTTTCCTGTTTTACTGTCCTGCCCTATATGAACCTGGCACCAGGCACAACCCTGGCTAGCTTTCTTCTTTTGCTGTCCAAGACTGGGTCTTGTGCAACCCAGACTGCTCAATGTAGATGAGGATGACACCCTGCTGCCTCTACATCCCAAACACAGACACCACGATATGCTACTCAACATCCGCTTTCTGCTTCCTCCAGCTGTGTGTTTCCCAGCGTGAGCCCTAAGACGGACATCACAGGTCATCCTTACCTCCTCTCCTAAGAGGTCAGCCCCATAGTTGTACAGCTCTCCCACATAATGCCTTCGAATGACATCTTCGCTCACTTGAAGGTGATGGGCTAAATCCACAGCCAGAGCTGGCCAGTTGTGGTCTCTCCGGGGAGTGGGTACTGCCGCTTCTGTGGGATCTTTGTCCTTGGTGACAGAATGCTGAGCCTGGACGGCTGCACTGACAACTTTCATTAAGAACTTGAAGACAGGAAGGCATAGCACTGCCTTGTCAGTACGTTTCATTTAAAGTAACCCAGTACCTGCTGTACAGAGCTGGTAGCCTGAGTTCAATCCCAATGCTGATGGGAGGTGGGAGAACTGACTGCACAGAGTGGTCTGTCCTCCCCATACTCAGTGCCACGGACTGTACAAGCACCCCCCCCACACACACACACAACAACTCAGTGCCACGGACTGTACAAGCACCCCCACACACACACACAACAATAACTCAGTGCCACGGACTGTACACACCCCTTTACACAACAATAGAATAAAGTGCCTCAAGTCAACTTTTTGTCAACAAGAGAGACTCCACTAAAATTATTTTTAAATTTTTAATTTGGTTTTTTGAGACAGGGTTTGTGTGTGTCCTTGGCTGTCCTGGAACTCAATTTGTAGCCCAGGCTGGCCTCAAACTCGCAGAGATCCACCTGCCTCTGCCTCCCCAGTGTTGGGATGAGAGGTGTGCACCACCTCCACCTGGCCTTCCTTTTCATTTTTAAGATCTGTGTATGTACATGCATGCATATACGTGTGCATGTGTGGGCACACGCCACAGCATCCATGTGGAAGAGTCTGTTCTCTCTGCCACGAGGGTCCCGGAGATCCAGCTAAGGTCACGAAGTACCTGCTGGGCCATCCCACTGGCTCTAAAGTTGTCCCGCCCGACACCAATGAAGGAACATGCACTAGGGAAAGTGCTCTTGGGAATAACTTTGAGGACGTGGCCATCTTTTTAAAAGACAGCTATATTTCTGCTTCGGTATTTCCACCTAAGAAACAAGAGCAAAATATAGTAGCTAGCTTACCTGTTGTCTTATAGAAATAAAATTTGGATCCATTTCACCACTAGGTAATAACTGAATTGAAGTTAAGTCTTTGAAAAATGCATTCTTTCCCTAAAGAGAATGATTGAAAAATAAGAACAAAAACACTTGGTGAGTATGGAGCATAAGGGAAAGATTCTTAAAACTAAATCACTTTACTACGAGTCATTCTTGATTGAACAGAAAGATTAGCATTCTGCTCATCATCTACCTTGGTAGCCATTGCCAGTATGTGAGCAGCGGCATTAAAGACGGCCTCCACTTAGCTACTATTCAAGCCCAGGCGGTTCCTCCTCCCCTGGACTGTGGGCTGCTGGCTGCCAGCAAATATCATTAGGCCGGTGACAGCAAGTCATGTTCCACACTGGGTTCCAGAGAACTGTGGCTTCTGCCTTGGTATTTTTGTTCACCCACAAGAGGGCCCAGTGGTCCAGTGAGCCACCTTACAGACATAGCCAAGTGCAGTAATCATACTTCCCAATCTATCTGAGTCTTTAGCTGAAACCTCCATGAAGCAACCCCCACCACAGTCCCACAAGAACCTTTATGCCAAAGGCAGCTAGGTGAGGACGTCAGATTCCTGACCTCTAAGGTCTGAGAGAATAAACCAGGTGTGATGACACATGTCTGTAATCACTGGGGAGGTGGGGGGGGGCGGGTCTCGAGTTCAAGGCTACATAAGTGACACTGCAAACTACCAAGGTCTGTGGTTCTAGCTCAATGATAGAGTAATTGCTAGCAAGTGCAGGCTAAAATCTAAAGTAGTAAGTGTTGGTTGTTTGCAATCATCAAGTTTTTGGGGATAATTTTTGTTAAGCAGTAGTAGCTAACTGAACCACCAGCATTTATCTGAATCCTTAAAAATACTTATTGCTTAAGGTTTAAGAGAAGAGCTGAGGTTAGAGTCATACAGAACAGGCAGGCTTGGCAGATGGCTCAGAACACTTGCTGACCAAGCATGAGTACTTGAATGGAAACCCTCTGCACATACACAGCAAGCTGGAATGGCTGTGTGTGCCTGCAGCCTCACACTGGAGAGTGGTGGGTGGTGTGTGCATAAGTCAGCTTACTGGCCAGCCAGCCTAGAATAAGCATGGAGCTTCTGGCTCTGAGATTCCCTGTCTCAGGTTATAAGGTAAAAAGCTACACCAAGGAGGACACATCCTCCTCTGGCCTCCAACCCCCAACACAAAAGTCAATCCTCACCAGGAAGTGGAGTGCAGAGCTGCGAACACCCAGGCCTGCCACTCAACAGCTCCAGCTGTGAACCAGCCATCCCAGAAAGCCTCTCAAAAGTGTGTACACAGTGAATGTCTATGATTCTAAGTTCCAGAGAGTGCTTACAGGTTAAACTACACACGCACTGGCTTCGGACAGTCTTTGCCCAGGATGCAGGTAGTCCTGACTAGCAAAGGTCCACATGCAGTGCCCACTTCCAAATGTTTCATTTTGAAAAATTTCTGATCAGATTCCCCCCCCCCACACCCTGCCATTTTTCTTTCAAAAGTTAGCTGCTGGAGCAGCGGCAGTCTTTACTTTTTCCTTTGTGTTCTCTGCAGGCTAGATGTAGTCTCTGGCACTATGCTGCACCCTGCCGTAAACAACTGTAATCAAAGCGTTAAATGCTGTTGATTAAAAATCTCTCTCTGGTTAGGTAGAGATGGGACCCAGGACATCAGGCATACCAGGCAAGTGTTCTACCACTAAGGTGTATCTCCAGCCCCAAAGTCTCTCTCTTAAAATATGCACTACTGCTATGTAGACTATCAAACTTAACATGGCTAAGATCATTCTAAACAGGCTTTCATTTGCTGTAACCCCTTTGGCCTCTTTCAGCGCTGTATTCAGTTCTGTGAGGTGGATTCTTGTAGAGCCTTTAGAATTTACTATCCTCCAGTCCACACCCTTCCCAGCCCGACGGGACCTTTCTCACACCATGTATCGTTAGCACACTGCAGACATGCTTTTCCTTGAACATCTTGATTACAAATGCATCAACCAAGCTCCTGCTCTGTGATAGGCAAGGTACACAGACATGGGCAAGCAAAGAGATGTGATAAGTTTAGGGGACCTAGACAAGCACTGTGAAGACAGTACTTAAATGATCATCTAAAAACAAAAAACTGGACACCGGCCACAGGAAATAGCTGCCTGACAGCAGGAAAGACTGTGGGAAGTCCCTCCTGGTTCCACAGTTTCATGTGGCACAACTTCCCCAGAGCAGGAAGAACAGCTCATGACCCCCAGGGCTGTGAGTGTGAGAGAAGGAACTGAATACCCCAGGCCCTTGCATGCCCTCTTTAGAGGTGGTGTTTCTCTAGGGAGACACTTTCTCTGCTTCTACAGGGTCAGGCACCTGAGGGACAGCCGGTCTTGAGAAAAGCCTGATATTACACTCTAGCAAAGGACAGAGAAGGGACTCATTTTTCTAATGAGCTGAAGCTGTGTTCTCCAACCCAGTCACATCTGAGTGGTAAAGCTGAAGTTTTATTTCCTGTCGGAACCTGTATCTCAGAACTCACTAGACAGCCTAACGACACAGAGCCTTTCTGTGGACCACCAAGTTCAGAGTTGACTTTGCAAGGAGCTACAAAATGTGAGAGACAGAACCAATCTGCTTGGGTAGATCCTCAGGGTTGGGCCTTGAGAGCGATGCAGGCAGGACAGTTGGGAAGGGGTCTGATTTGCTGGTCGAGGGAGGGTGGGGAATGAGGTAGGAGTTAGCGATACAGTAATGCACAGCAGTATCCAGGTCGTTTGTTTTGATTCTTGAGCCAGGATCTCCTATAGCTCAGGATGGCCAGGAATTGGCTATGTAGCCCATGCTGGTCATGAACACACCAACTTACAATTTCTGCTTTCCGAGGGCTGGATGACAGGCGCATGCCACCATGCCTCAGTTCTGCTTTCAGTAAGAACAAGGAAGTAGACTGGGCTGAGGCAGGGCTCACCTCCAGGTTTCTAGTGTGCACTAGTGCACAAAGGGAGGCATTAATGTTAATTACTCAAGCCAGGGAACTCAAGGGAAAGCAAACTGAAGTCAGGGCAGGATGGGGTGAGAGTCTCCAGATGTGTTCTAGATACAGATTTCCTAGGACATTCAACAGAAGCACACTCATCAACCTTATGAGTAAGTCTGGGGGTATCTAGGGAGAATATGCAGAATGAGAAGGGCCATCAGCAGAGGATAAAACCCCACAGGCCATCACAGGACATTATGACTAAATTAGAAGAATGGAACTGGGTAGGGGGTGAGGACCTAGGACTCCAGCGGATCATCACCCACAAGCCACTGGAGAACTGGACACATACCGTTCCATAAGAACTCCGAGTACCTGTTAGCCAACAGCTCTGAAACCCTCTGGGGACTCACCTTGCTGTCAAAAAGGGCAAGTGGCTTCACGCTCCTGAGAGAGAAGCGCATGGCTGCATACAGGATGGAGCACAGCACCGAGTGGTGCTCCACCAGGGGGTAGTGGATAGGCTTCTGCTCAAGAGCCAGCTCCACTATGGAGATGGGGCCTTCCACGGACAGCCAGGCATCCTCAGTGTCCAGGACTGGCATCTGCATCTCATCCCTGCTAATGTCAGCCTGGCGGGTTGGGAATGGAAGGAAGGCCGTGTCAAGGATTGGAGAACAAGAACTGCAATCTGCAACACCCTAGAGTGAAAGCTTTGTAGTCTGTATTCCCCATGTATAACTCAGAAACTAGGGGGGGGGGGGGAAAGAGACAGAGAGACACAGAGAGAGACCAAAACCTACAAATGAATATGGTAAATAAGCCAACCATACATTTCTTAAGCTCAATGATTTTCAGAGTATTTAATATCTGAAGAGACACTCTGATGAGAATGTTGGGGAGAAGCATGCTGTGTGTATGTGTGGAGTGTCACTTCACAGCCCTGGCTGGCCTTCAGTCTCACAGTCTTTCTATCCTAGCCTCCCAAGAGAGGATCCCAGGCATGCTCCCCTGTGCCCGAATAACGTATTACCTCCAGTGAAGTCTGAAGAAGATCCAGGCAGGACCCCAGGAAGGATGTCATCGCTGTGTCACTCATCCCCACATCCTGTTCTCAGAAAGGAACATTATGACCCCTGCATCAAAACCTCTGGACTATCGGAAAAACAAGAGACTTAGCATGTCCACTTGCCTGACTTTCTACACTGAACACAAACTGAAGTCATCAAATAGTTAAGTTCCTGCCAGTAGGTTTGGTAGTATCAATCAACTTGATATTAGCCTTTAGTGTGATACTAATGATATTACTATTATTACTATCAATCTTAACACCTGGGGTGAGGGTGTGGCTCAGTGGTTGGGCATATGTAAGACTCTGGATTCAATCTCTAGCACCAGAGGGCAAGAGGAGACAGTAAAATACAGTGTTCTTTGTGCACAGTAAAGACAGATCCTTCAACTTGCTAAAGTATTTGCTAGCCAACTAAACACAGAATATGGTAAGATACATATATGAGGTTAAACTAGGGAAGTTCTAAGGAAACAACCTGAGCAGATGGTTTCATGGCAACTTGAAGGCACTGAACTGAATTCTCTGAATAAAACTAGAATTCCCCATTTGACAACCAAATACCAGATTCACATTTTGGGCAAGAAATAGTCCCCACTGACCCCTCTTAGACCTGTGTGAGGAGCTTCTGTATAATCTTTTTAAAACTAACAATCAATCAATTATTCACGCCTCAAAGTACATAATTCAGAGTATGTGTGTGTGCTCGTACTAGCGTGTACACACCTAACTCGAGTCATGCAACCATCCTTACAGTGATCTGGGGGAATAAGGGCTCTTTTTTGGGGGGAGGGGTTTCTGGGGGGGGGCTCTCTGTGACTTGGAGGCTGTCCTGGAACTAGCTCTTGTAGACCAGGCTGGTCTCAAACTCACAGAGTTCCGCCTCTGTGTAGCTTTGGAGCCTATCCTGGCACTCACTCTGGAGACCAGGCTGGGCTCAAACTCACAGAGTTCCGCCTACCTCTGCCTCCTGAGTGCTGGGATTAAGGGTGTGCGCCACCAATGCCCAGCCGGGGAATAAGGTTAGATTTATGTGTCTCAACACTTCTTGAGATGTTTAAGAACATGTCACAGTGTGGAGGAAAATATTTAAGAAGAACATGTCACAGTGTGGAAGGAAATGGAGCACTACTGATAGCAGCCTAGTGTCCATGGCTCAGAATCTCAACTGAGGTCAGTGGTTATTCAGTCTGGGTAGAATATGCCTGCTGCAGGTGAGGCTGGACATCTCTACTATAAGATGGCAATTCGCTGCTTCCAGTCCAGAGTCCAAAGCCAAGCGAATCTTAAGACTTACACATTTTAGATGCCAATCTAGACAGGGAAATTGAGTGACCACAGATGATAACTATTTCCTTAATGCAGTACTCTCTTTCTGTTTTTTGTTATCTCCAGATAGATCATCTTAACAGGGAAAATCAAAGTTCACTCATACAGTAAGGTGCTACATAGAGTGTAGGCTTAACAATGAGAGTCACTCACCCTTCGGCATAACCTATCTTTTGGAGATTTTCCAACCTGAAACCGTCAGAAAATAAAACATTTAACAATTTAAATTAAAATGTATTAGAATGATACAGAAAATAAGGAGCAAGCAGAATTATAGCTATAAATATACATGCTAGTAATTAACTATTGGCAGGCTACCAACAATAAGAGCAACATTTTTTTGTGGTAGAACTCAAAAAAATCACAAAAAAATATTACACAGAGCTCATGAGTGTTCTTTTCAAAAATAAATCCTTGGGTTAGAGAGATGGTTCAGCAGTTAAGAGCATTTGTTGCTCTTACAGAGGCCTAGGTTCAATTCCCTGCAACCACATAGCATTTCACAAACATCTGTAAAACCAGTTATAGGGGCTTCAACAGGCATGTACATGGTACATATTCATACATGTAAGCAAAACATTCATACCCATAAAGGAAAATAAATAAACCTAATAAAAAATTCCTTCCTCCCCTAATTGTGTAATTTTGAACCACTAAGTAAAAGTTCTCTCTAGGCATGACAGAGTGGTACATGGGTGAAATCCCAGCCCTTGAAAGCAAAGGCAAGAAGATCTTGAATTTGAAAGTTTAAGGCCAGCCAGTGAGACACTGTTATAAAGACAGAAAGGGACAGGGGAGGCTGAAAGATGACAAGCCAGAGAAGAGAGGAAGGGAGGCAAGCAATGGAAGCTTGGTAAAAATCCAGCTCTCAGTTTGTAAACAGTTAAGTAACTGTGTTGTCTGAAAATCCCTGTAAACAACATATAAGAGTTTTCTTTGCTGGTAAAGAGAGAGTTTCAAATGGTGACAAAAGAAAATTCTGAAACAGCAATGAATAGCCATGTTCACAATGGCTAGGAAATGGAAACAACCTAAATGTCCTGCAACCAACTAATAAGATAATTCAAAATCGGTCCATATACACTATGGAATGCTATTCAGCTGTAAAGAAACGCCAAGTCATGAACTTCACAGGTAAATGGATAGAACTAGAAAAGATAGTGAGTCACGCTAACCCACAAACAGAGAGACAAATGTGGTGTCTTCAGGGTGTGAGTCCATACCCTTGAGCACCTGCAGAGATCAGAAAAAAATACAAATGGACCACGGGTTGGTGGGAGGCAGAGATGCGATAGAGATGACACATGGAAAACACAGTGGCTCCAATTCTGGAGCAGGGAAAAGAGATAAATCAAGAAGAAAGAGGGAGGAGGGTGTCTGAAAAAGTCATAAGGAGTCATACTGTCCGCTATCTTCCTAAAATACCTATAACACACATAAATATATACATACACATGTGTGTATGCACATACGATATATATGTATGCATGTATAGTATGTATGTGTTTATGCATATACAATATATAATATATATAGCACATAATATAGGGTTTTTCGAGAAAGGATTTCTCTGTGTTGCTTTAGAGGTTGTCCTGGCACTCGCTCTGTAGACCAGGCTGGCCTCGAACTTACAGAGATCCACCTGCCTCTGCCTCCCGAGTGCTGGGATTAAAGGTGTGTACCACCAACACCTGGCTAATATAGGTATTTTTTAATGAAAATTTCCCATCTGGGCTAACAATGTTCCCCCCAAGAACAAACACTATCTAATGGAAAACCCCAGCAGCAGGCATGAGAAGCCCTCTTTTGAGTTGTTGGTCAGGGTTGTCCAGGAGACTTCCAAAATATTCTAAGCTTGGTTGCCCCGGGGTAGAAGGTAAGTCCCTATGGCTGAAGACACCACACACTTGAGAAACAAGGCACAGAGGCCCCTAACTGGAACTGACCTGAAAGGCCCCTTCCTGAGGACAAGCTCTCAGTTCACCAGAAAGCACCATGCAAGCTTCCAAAGAAGGAAAGCAACCAACAGGCCCACGAAGCTATGACACCTATGACCCACAATAACAACCACTATGGCACCATAAGCCTGAGGGTGCATTAGCGGCACACATTCTTGGCAAACCAGTAGCTCTCTAACTGAACTTACGGTCCACCCAACAAGAGGGAAACCATTCTGGTACTAGAAACCTAGCCAACTACCTGGACATACTGAAGTCATGGATCTTGGAGGGGAACCTACAACTGATACTTCACTAACCCATAATCCCTAAGTACATTCTAAATGTTCACCCTGTATCCACAGAGAGATTAGTTCTCACTACCCATTCAAGGAAACTTCCCTCTGCAACAGACAGAGACCACTCCAGAAAACCACATCCAGTCAAAATGCAGAGCTCAGTCCCAACTGACACACCTACAGCACAACTCAGTCACCTCAGGCTCAGAGATCACTGTGGGGGAGAGGGCTGGAAGAGTGTAAGGGCCAGGGGAACGGGGCTCCATGTGAGATTGCTCCTCCTAAAAACACCAGAAGAGCTACACCCATGAAGTCTCACCAGCACTACTGTCTAAGCATGAGCTGAACACGGATGTCACCAATAGACACACTAATGTGGAAGAGGGAAACCCTACACAGAGAACCACAGGCAACTAAGGAGGGCTGAGAGTGGGGGAGAGCGTCTTCCCCAGGAAAGAGCACACTGACTGGTTATCCAGTGCCAAATGGTCGGGCATCCCTGAAAACATATGCATACAACACAGGATCTGAGCAGACTGTATTTATACGTTTAAGAGTATATGTGTATATATGTAACAACAATCAAAGAAAAAATGGCCATGAATTTGAAAGACAGAAAGAGGGAGGTGTGCATGGGAGGAGCTTCAGGGAAGAAAGGGAGGGTGGTTAATAATGTAATTTTCTTATAATCTCAAATATATACATGTGTATACACACACACACATACACACACACACACTAATGCTGGGAAGTACACTTAACCCAGCAGGAATAAACTGCACTATCAACAGACAACCAGAAACACAGTCTACCAACCGTCCACATACCCCAGTGTCAACAATCTTTCTAATATCAAGAAATTAAGGGAACTAAATTAAGAAGTCAGTATGTGACAATTAAAATCACCTCACCTTATCCATCAAGTAGGTAGCAGCAGAAAATCTTTTAACCAAGAACGTGTTCCACATCATCAATGCGATACCTAACACAGAAAATGAAACATGAACAGAGTGCTATAGATTCATCAGACATCTAACTCTCTTCCCCAAGCTTGTGAAACCATGTGGACTCTATATTTACATATTTTTTTGCATCTTATACAGAATTTTCATTTTTAATAAAAGAATAAGTGAACAGAAGAGTATAGCTATAAATATTAAGTATAAAATTCTTATCACAAGCAACAAGGAAAAAATAGCATCATCACCACCACCACCACCATTAACATCACACAGCCTCCAGAAAGGTTCAGAATGCTTGTTTGTTATATTGGGGGCTGTAGAAAACAGTACTTTAAAACATTAAAAAATACTTAAGGAAAAAACTCAACTAAGCAAACAAGAACAAAACCTGTGCTTTTATTTGCACAGCAAAGCAGTATTTCCATAGTCGGGAAGGAAGCAATTACAAGGGGTGCTAGTCACGTCTATTATACAGGGGATCCCACTCGTACAAGAGGGCTTGCTGTCTGCTACTCACCATTTTGAATATGTGCGTTAAGAATGTGCTTCAGGTGTTCTATGGACCTAACCAAAAAGCGTGCTTCCTTGGACAGGAGAGAGAGAGGGAGAGAAAAGATGACGGTTATTTCACACCAGTGAAAACCTTTCCTTTAAGAGTTAGTTTTATTTATGTGTATGTGTCTGTGGCGAGTGTATACTGTATGTGAGAGGTCACCTGCAGAGGTAGAGGAGGACATGGGATTCCCTGAAGCTAGAGTTACGGGCATGTGTGAGCATCCAGACTAGGGTGCTGAGAACTGAATTCAGCTCACTTTAACCACCAAGCTACTCTCCAGCCTCCAATGGAGCCTTCTTACTCAATTTCTGCATAAATTTATTTAAGAATTTGGCAAAGGGGCTGGAAAGAAGGTTCAGCTGTTAAGAGCACTGGCTGCTCTTGCAGAGGTCCCACATGATGGCTTACAATTATCTATAACTCAAGTTCTAGGGGATCCAACACCTTCTTCTAATCTCCAATGTCACTGGGCATACATGTAGTTGCACACACATACATGCAAGCCAAGAGACACACAGACACAGGAAGGAAGAGGAGGAGGAGGAGGAGGAGGAGGAGGAAGCAGCAGCACTGGCTTCCGCAACCTAAGCTGCAGCTGTTGGGTGTGGTAGCACACACTAGAACTCAGGAGACAGAGACAGATTGGATCTCTGTGAGTTTGTAGCCAGCCTCGTCTACATAGTGAGTTCCAGGACAGCTAGACCTACACAGTGAGACCCTGTCTCAAAAACAAACAAGAAAACAAAAAGAAAATGACAGAAGCAGAGGGATCATGTGAACTACAAATGGAATTCCAGGCTAAGCTATATAGCTAAAAACCTGATTCAAACAAACAAGAAGGACGGAGACGATGGGGAAAAAGAAAAGAAAAACCAAAGAAACTCTGTGAATTAGGTAAGAAATAACTTTTGATAAGATAACTTCAATCATTTCAGTATCTAATTAATGATTAATTTCTAGACACACCCCACCCAGATCATGCTGACAGGGAGATTCAAGCTCTCTTTGGTCTGTATATCACACAATTGTTCTCTACAGGCAATACTAGAATTTCACAGGCATGAACTTAGTTTCTTTTTGCAAACAATCATTATCAACAAATTGGGAGCAGCTACTATGCACCAAACCTCTAAGAGGCCCCAGGAATATGACCCTGAACAAAATGGACCCAGCTCTTTGTCTTGCCTGAGGGTGGAGCCCAGTGAGGGAAGTAGACAGTAAGCACAGAAGTGAAGGAAATGGTACAGAGAAAAGAATGAGAGCCAAGGGCAGGAGGCATCAGAGGGGAGGCTTAAAGCTATCTATCTGCAGTCACAAAGGGTGTAGCATGTCACACTCACAAAATCATCCAGAGGTTTGCTAAGATCAGAAGTCTCCATTATTATTGTCTCACACAAGATGATACTGGAAATTCTCCAAAGATAATTCAGTTTAAAATTTAAGGTAGATGTGTGTGTGTAGTGAAGCTGGGATGGGGTGTGACGCGTTAAGTAGATGAACAGTTAACAAGAAGGACAGCCATTATTCAAATAGTCCTAACAGAGGCCAATGACTGCACTAACGAGAACACTGGGCGCTATGCAAGCCACTTTCTCTACTCCTCCAAGATGACTATTTCTGTAGAATATTCTTGTCTAGGAAGAAATTGAGACACGGGCTCAGGGATGTTTCCCAAGGTCATGGCAGCCGTGTGCTGTAACTAGGATTAGCTGGGAGGAACAGCACCAGGTACAGAGGCAGTCGAGCCCACTCTATTAGCCTGAACCACACACTGCATTGTCTTCTTTCTTTTAACACAGGACAGCACTGTCACCAGGCCGCTCCGGGATACAGGTTCTCTCCATACCTGAAGATATGTGCTTTGCCCTTGTTCTCAGTGAACGTAACAAGTGTAGTTCTTATTTCCTGCTGCATTTCGGTATGAAATGGCACTAACCTAACAGTATTTGTCAAAGCAAGGGTTGAATGGTAGTCTAGTGTCTGATGGCTCTAGTGTCTCTGTGTTTACCACTTTTGTTCTATTTGGATAAGAACAATACCCCAGATACAGCCCTCCTGTGTACATGGCCAACTCTTGTCCAAGGTTAGCCTTGCTGGCCTCTCAACTCTCTGATAAGGCCACATTTCCCGCACTTTTAGGGTCACAATCTTTCTGGGGGCACTTTGGTCTGAAAGTACCCTAGGGAGTAGCCCCAAGTTTGGCTTTGGATCCCAACTGAATGGCTGACATACAACTGACCACCAAATCTATTATCCCACCACTCCACCCATTTAAGGAAGGCATCAATCCTTCAGGCTTGACACCAAGATGAAACAAGATACGAAAGCATCTCATAGCTATTTTCTTTGCCACCTTCTTCACTCAAGCCTCCCTCATAAGTATTCTTGGAAATGACTCCTCTTGGATCCAAACTCTTTCTTTGAAGTCTTTATCTTGGGCTTTAAAAATTTCAAAGGTGAATTAACTCACACTTATACAATAAGAACCCTTTCTTCCACCTAATAAGGGCTCTTTAATATGCAATGATGGTATATGTTAAGAGAATACACTAATAGAGTGATTTAAATAATAGACTTGTCCTTGTTAAACCTTAACCAAACCTTGGTGCCAGGATGGGAATCCTGTTCCTCTATCACCTTCCCACTGAGTCCCCACAGCAGAGCACTAATTACAGTCTCGACTTGACCACATGTTTCCAGTCAATGAGAAAAGGAATGCTAGAACCACAATGAGGATACAACTCCTCAAATCTAAATGAATTACCGACTGAGGTCTAAAGCAGTGGTATTTGAGAACACAGCTGGCCACTGCGGTACACACTGCATACTACTCAGGAAAGCCACAAGTTCAAGGCCAGTAAGGGCAACTTTACAAGACCCTGTCTCCAGGAAATAACTTTAAAAGGACTGAGGATATAGATCAGTGCTGAGTGCTTGCCTAGCAGGCATAAAGCTATAGGTGCACTCCTCAGCACTGCCACACACACACACACATATATAAGGCAATGTGTGCAAAGCACCGAGCAGTTACTAGGACGGGCGGGCACAACAGTGAGCTCCAGGACAAGCGTGGCCCGGGAACTTGTGTGCAGACACAATCAGCAGACGGAGACGGATGTACCTCTGGGTCTTTATTCCACTGGACGACATACTCCCAGCAGCAGTGTGCATGCAGCAGGTCAAGCTCAAGGCTACAAGGGAACTGTTCATAGGCTAAACGCAGCAAGTCTGAAAGACACAGGAGAGTAGCAGCACCCTTTCAGTAATGGGAAAGCAGCTACATCACTCCACCCCGGTCCGTAATGCTCATTATTTGGGTGTCACCTGGTATGGCTCCTAGGTCTATCTGCACCTCTGGCACCTCAAGGAACCTTCGGGCAATACCTTCTTTGGGTTCATCTGGGTTTTCTGCATCTCTTTCTTGGTTGGCACATTTCAACAATTCAGGGTTGAGGTCCTGTTTAAATATCCACTTGGCTACACTGTCTGCAACACCACCTACAGGGTTGAGAGAGGAAAGAGAATGAAATCTGGTGAAAATGTGACTAGCACTGTACTAAATGGAGCCGAATACAGAGCATTTGTGCAGGTGTCCCTCAGGGACAGACAGACACACCACACTCACTTCTGAATCTCGAGAGAAGGTGATGCCAAACAGCCATGAGATTCATAACAGTGTTAATACCTGTCATTCAGCTTGGGAGGGCAAGCAAGACAGTTAGTTGCTACCTGGGATGGAGAGAGAACACGAGCGGGTACTAGGGCGCATCTGGAAAGGGTGAGTAACTGCTGGGCTACAGCACAGCAGGAACTCCAAGGTAAAAACTAAATGAACATTCAGACCAGACAGTAGAGAAGACTCTGAGTGCTCCTGACACAAAACAATGCCTGATAGCTACATAATGGATCTGAGCTAATGATGCATAAACATATTAAATAAGTATTAAGTAAGATGTCAGTCACACTGTACCTCATAAGTATAACTACTATGTGGCAGTGAAACATAAAGCATGTACTTTAGGAAAACTTAGCAACACCAAGGGGAAGAAAGAGAGGAAGGGATGACATTATTAGTTTTAAGGAGATGGGGGGAAGAGAACACTGGTTGGGAATGGTCTCCTGGAGGGACCCTTGGATGGACTTTTGAACATGAGCAAGACTTAAGTGTCCATGAGTGGGTGAGGTGGAACAGGGAGAAGGATGGACTTGGATCCAGGATGGGAGTCTCAAACATTTCACTTCATGAAAACCTAGTGTAAAATTAATTAAAAAACACTCACTCCTATATTCACAACACTTGGCTAAGGAAGGAGGAATCTGAGTTCAAAGCAAGCCTGTCTGACGAAAACAAAATGAGTAAACACATACTCAAAGTGATGGATGTGGACATGTGCAAACACTCACATGTGCTCCGTGTCTCACCTTTTCCTCCTTCTAGCAGTTTTTTAACAGAAAGCCTTGGAAGTGGCTCTGACTGTGGAGATGACACCCTGGAAGCTGGGGTATTGGCCCTGCTGTGAAGCAGGGTCTGCAGGATGAGGCAGTCCTCTAGCTGTTTCAGCAGGAGCTTCCAGTACTCGGTGTCAAGAGAAAGGGCTTCCCAGGAGTCTGTGAGGGCTTCTGCATCAGCACCCAAAACCGTCTGGGAAAACTAAGAGAAAATATCCTGCTCAGCCTCTGGGCAATCTGCCTGTTTTCCTTGTGCTGGGGATGGAACCCATGGCCTCACATATGCTGGGCAAGCACTCTAATATGGAGCCCCACCCCCAGTCATCTGGCAAAGACTTTGAATAACATTAACTTAAATGAAAGCAACAGAGACCTAATCTTATGAGACTGGAAACTTGGGACATGTAGAAGAGGCCCTGTGCTGCTAAGTCAGGCTGGGCCAGTGTGCATCTTGAAGGGTATTCTTGCCTTCAGCTCGGGCTGCTTTGCTTCGGACACTGACAGAATGCACCAGCCAGCTCTCACTGCAAACACCTCCATCTGCTCATGTTACACTTAGCCCATATCTTCCAGGGCTGACAATGTTGATAGTAAACCACTATAGACCCACTCAGGTGCTAATCTAACATCCTACTAGGAAAAACCACTGACCTACCACGCAATGTAAGAGAAGCAAATCTTTTTTTCTTAATGTGAATGAACCCTCAGGAGAAGGGGGAAACCCACACAGCAAATGTTTGCTTGAGTGCTGGTCCATCTGACTCAGTGCAGGTGTGTGTGTAAGAGGAGGAGAATGGAGACAGTCATGGGCCCGCAAAACCCGAACAAACCGAAGAAGCGGTCCAGTGTGGCCCTGACCCCTTAGTGAGGAGAGCATCACCACGCTCACACATCCCACATCCCAGATGCTCTAGGGCACTGAAGGATGGAAATCACCCACAGCCAACCAGACTGGCACAGAGGGCAGCTGAACAGCTGCCCACTCACTTTCTTATCTGCCACACTGTTGGACATCTGTGCAGCAACAGAGTGCCCAACATGAGCAGACAGCAGGGCAGCTCCATTGTTCTCCGACTGAATACAGGCCATGCGCATCTGCTGCCACCAAGGGGACACGGACTGAGAATCCCATGTCTCATCAATGGCCACTGCAGAGACAAGAAGGAAAGCAAAGGTGAGCTCGCACCCTGTCTGTCTGGGTGTGCAGTACATGGGTCTTACCCTTTATGTTTAAGCTAAAGCCCTCAAAGAGGTATCTGCATTCTTCTAAACGCTGTACAAGATTAATATCATATGCCAGCTAGGTTTTTATCAACTTGACACAAGCTAGAGTCATCTGAGAGAAAGAGCCCGCAAGTGAGAAAAATGCCTCCATAAGCTCAGCCTGTAGGCAGCCTATGCAACCTTTTCTTGATTGCTGGTTGATGAGCACACTGTGGGAGGTGCCAGCCCTTCGTAGGTGGTCCTGGGGTTTTATAAAGCAGGCTGGGCACAGAGAGCAAGCCGGCAAGCCACACTCCTCCATCTCTGCTTCAGTTCCTGCCTCCAGGAATTAAGCTCACTGATCTCAGTGACAGACCATTACCTGGAAGTAGAAGAAGAAAGAAACCCTTTCTTCCTCAAGTTGCTTTTGGTCATGGTCTTTATCACAGCAATAAAAACCCTAAGACATTGCAACTGATTTTATTCAGAACATTTATCTTCCATTTCTTTATATTGTTAGTCATGCTGGTTCTTGAATCAATACCAAACTCTGGGTGTTTTTTTTTTTTTTTTTTTTTGTTTTTTTTTTTTTTTTTTTTTTTTTGTTTTTTTTTTTTTTTTTTTTTTTTTGTTTTTTTTTTTTTTTTTTTTTTTTTGTTTTTTTTTTTTTTTTTTTTTTTTTGTTTTTTTTTTTTTTTTTTTTTTTTTGTTTTTTTTTTTTTTTTTTTTTTTTTGTTTTTTTTTTTTTTTTTTTTTTTTTGTTTTTTTTTTTTTTGTTTTTTTTGGTTTTTTAAGGGGGAGTTGTTGTTATTTTAGGATGGGTTTTTTTTCTGTGTAACAGGCTCTGGCTGTCCTGGAACTCCCTCTGTAGCCCAGGCTGGCCTTGAATTCAGAGATGTGCCTGCCTCTGGCTCCTGAGTTGTGGAATTAAAGGCCAGCACCACCACTGCCAGACCCCAAACTCTTATTTGAAATATTTTCATCATTATTAAAAAGGAATAATGGGGGAGATATACACCTTTGGAAATTTTTATTATTTACTTTAATGTATGGGTTTTTCATCTGCATGTAGATTTGGGTACCACATGTAGGTCTGGTGCTCACAGAGGCCACAAGAGGGCAATGGATCCCCTGGAGCTCGAATTACAAACAGCTGTGAGCCACCATGTGGGTTCTGGGAATGGAACCTGGCTCCTCTAAAAGAGCAATGAGTGTTCTTAAACACTGAGAAACTTCTACCAAAATAGGCAAAATATTATTTCTACCAAAGACCATTTTCCATGGCATCACATCTTCTGAGGGTGGAATTTCACTGTCCTATATGAAAGCACATCACAAACACAGAGCAAGCTTTCGACCAGTGCATGAAGACTTCTACAGCAACGCAGTCACAGAGCCAAGGATGCAAACCAGGGCCTGTGTACAAAGGATCCTCCTAGCTTTACGCCCCACCAAAACCTTTTCTACACCGTAGTCTTTTGTTGAAAGAAATTCCCCGTCTTTATGTGGTGTTTCAAAGACTATGTTTTATTTCAGAGCATCGAAGTGGAAACCCTGAGAACAATGGCCCACAAGATGTACCATCTCCTACCTTTCATCTTGCTCAACAGGGACAGCATGGTATGAAGACAGCAGACAGACTGTGGTTTGTCCAAAATATCTTTTTCCTTCGAAAGCCAAACACTTAGGAGCAGAGACTAAAATAAAATTAAAATATTTTTCAGCCTAAATAATATTTAGCAAAGGGGACATCTCACAGTTTCTCCAGTGTGCAGGTGCTCATCATGATGCAGCTCTCTCGTGTGATGTGGGGGTCAGACTGAAGTACACTGTCCACCAAGAGACTCTCAACATCTGCCGGGTGCCTGACTCCCACCCCTTCTACCTCCTCTTAGGATTCACACTGTCTTCCAATCTAAGCCACAGTTAAGGAGACACCACCAGGAAGACAACACTGGGACATTCACCTGCTGAGTAACACACCAGCTGCAGGGGAGGGAGGGAGGGAGGGAGGGAGGGAGGGAGTGCCTGTCTGCAGGATTGGTGAGCCCCCTCTTCTCCACCTGTGTCCATCTCCCAAGGGGTGAGGACTCTCAAGTGTGGTTTCTCCTCTTTTGGCTTCGTCAAGTCCTGGTACCAGGCAACTACGGCTCTCTTGGGCTCGGAGCCCTGGGTCCCTGCTCTGTGTCTGATGAATCACTGAGCAGCCTATGCCTTCTTGAAATTGACCCTCTCTGAATTCCTGGGATGCTAGGAATTACAGACCCTCAGGTCTCACTTATCTTTCTCACTCATGGGAATTTTGGCATTGTCTATACCTCCAACTTTTGCTCTCAATGCTCGATTTAAAGGCTTCTAAACTCATCCGCCTTTGCAGTCAGATCTGGCACAAATATCCCTTAGATACTGCTTTCTGATTCGCTCTCTTCCACCTGCAACAAATCTGCTTTCTGATTCGCCAATGGCTCTGCCTTTCATTCAATATCAACAGTTGGGCTCTGGTAGGGTTATCCATTTCTGCCCATTCCCCGATGTGAGGCTTCCTTTCCCAAGCACAGTCCTTTCCTCTCCTTCTGGTTCTTCTCCAAGTCCTGATACCAGACTGTGTCTCTCTCAGACTCAAGAGCCCTTGGCCCCTGTTTTTGCATGATGATGTACTGAAGCAGCTTGTGTCCATTCAGTCTAACACTCCCTGGATCCCTGGGACGAAGCGTATTCAGGTCTTGGGTCTTCTTTCTGTACCTCACTCGATGTGCCCAATCAATCTTCCTCTGCCTCACTCTTGGGAACTGTGTCATTCACCTCCTCGCTCCCATTGGGATAACTTTTGGAGACCCACTGACCACTCCTTTTAAATCAAATCTGGCCTCAGTATTCCTTGGACCAGACAATCAGGGAACCAAGAAAGAATTCCCCACTTTTTCTTTCTCACTGTTTCAAACCTGCGTTCTACTGGATTGGGAACCCTGTGCAAGTGGATGCTTTCTTCCTGACCCTTCTCCTTGTTCTCCTATTTTTAACAACCACACCTTGCCTCATCAATCTTCTCTATGTGTCTCCAACAATACATTTAAAAATCTCCCATCAAACAACTAATCAGCTATTGTTACAGGACTACCAACTGTTAGCCACAGAGCTGGAGGTGCAAGACTACCAAACATGTCAAGGTGGGAGAACCAACAGCACCCGCTTGGATCCACCTCAAACAGCATTCACCAGCGAGGTGCCTGATGGTTCCAAGGAGCTTGGACAGTGAAGTGACACAGCCAGCTACCCCAGCATCTTTGTTCACACTCTAAAATGGTTTTTCTCTTGCTGAAAATAAACAAAGTTTCCTAACAGCTAAGCTTTTATTCAAACGTAGATTAGCACAAAATGCAGATGAGTTCCCATCAGAACACAGCAACATATTTTCAGATACACTCATAACAGAAAGCTACTTTAAACTTCAGGGACAATGAACGTAAATACCGAGACAGATGTTCACATGGGAACACATGCTGATACCACAGAAAAGTAACTACCAAGTGAATACAAAGGAGGGCAGTGTTCCGAGACAGCACAGCAAGGGAATGCACCATGCATGATCTGAGCACGATAGCATGAATCCATACATGTGAATTATCCTGTTCTACATATAAATAAGCCACAGACAGTCATGAAACACTGCCAGGGTAACTGATTAGGAACAGTACAGACGATAAAATTTAGTGAACTTTTTAGTTCTATTAGTTAATACCTAAGACTTGCAGAGATCTGTAGCTAAGAATGAAACAGAAACTCCCACGGCTCCAAAGCCAGAGAGCACAGCCTTTGGGGACACCTCCTTTTATATCCATACCCTTAATGCTTTCCTCCTGCCCTCGGAGGATGCAGATAACTGTGAGGACACCCTCTGTTAGCCGTGCCTTTCTACACAAGGCACCACTGGTCAGTCTTTCACCCGAGCTGCATTTTCTAGTCTTTCCTGAATACAACCAGAACTTGATAAAGCCAGAACTGTTGAAAACATGAATATGCTAACACAGCACTACAGTAACTAAATTAATTAAATGCCTGGAAACATAATTACATCTAGAAAGCCTCTTCCCTCTATACTACCAGGGAGGACTCAACCCAGGGCCTTTGCACATGCCAGACATTCACTCTCCTGTTGAGCTGGATCCCTAGCCATTTTGCTTTTTAAATTTTGGGACAGGACCTTCTTATTGAGGTGAGCAGACTGACCTGAATATCCACAGCCCAGGCAGGCCTTAAATTTGTGGTCCTGTTTCTTCTGCCTCAGAAGATGCTATTATAGTATAGCTATGTTTTCACTCCGAGCTGGAAGCCTTTCTAAACTAAATTTTTTCTTTCCCTCCTCTATTCCCCTGCCCTGACTCCTCTCCACCTCAAACTCCTCCTCTTATGTTCTGTCATGAGACAATGTCTCACTGTATAGTCCAGGCTGGTCTCAAACTCATGGCCCTCTTGCCTCAGCTTTCTGAGTTGCTAAGATTACAAGCATGCACTTTCACGAATATAATTCTAATAAGGGTGTTACTTATGTTAAAATGGAAATGCAGACAATATAATTTTGTTGCTACGCAACACAAAATACAAACTAAGAAAACTTCATTCCAACAGCTCCATCTGAATCCCCTTCACAGATTTTTATTTGGAAAGCACTGCAGATTTGATGGTGATAATGAATAAAGTTAAGCGCCACTGAGGAAGAAGACATCTGATATCAGTTTTGGTGCTCCATAGGACCCGTGTGTGTGCCTGTATGCATGAGCAGGAGGCCGTAGGAGGGAGCGCTGAGGATGATGGATAACTTCCTTGCTCTTTGTATTTCAGTTTTCTCACTGACTGATTCTTGTGTTTCACACGTGTGTAATGACTCTACCCTCGAATATTTGAGGCTTGAAAATTCTGACATCAATTTTATACACATTTTAGGGAAGTTTGTTCTTTAAGATCTCTCTCATTGTAATATAATATAACAACTAATGATCAAAATCTACTGTAAATGGATTCACCTGTTAGATTATTTATTTAAGGCCAAAAATTTAAAAGAGAAAATAACAATTTTAATATGCTAATTACAATTTTCTTTGATCATTTCAGTTTTTTAATGTATGTTCTTGATATGCTAATGATAATGATTTGGAACTTAACACTTGCATGTAACCTTTGCAAAGGGTTCAGTAACAAAACCTTACCAGTAACTGCTGAGGGCTAAGTCCGGCAGACTCGAGAGTGTGACACATATCCTCAGTGGAGCTTTCTCCATGCAAACACTTCCAAAAAAAGAAACTGCCTAGCAAAACAAACAAACAAACAAACAAACAAACAAACAAACATATTACTGATGATGAATGTTCAGATTAACAATCTTATTTAACTGCAAACTGGAATCTGAGAGGAGCAGGACAGCAAATGAAAGAAGAGAATATTTTGTTGTGGTTTTGTTTTGTTTGTGAGGGGTTCTCTCTATATAGCCCTGGCTGTCCTGGAACTCACTGTGCAGACCAGGTAGGTGGGCCTCAAATTCACAGAGATCTATATGCCTCTGACTCCTGAGTGCTGGGATTAAAGGCCTCCACACCCAAAAGAAGAGAATTTAGGGTCTGAATTTGATTTAGGAGAACAGAGAGAAAATCATTATGAATTAAAACTGTCTCCTGTGTGTCTATTGTATGTGTATGTGCATGGATGGAGCTCAGAGGTCAATGTCGGAGGTCTTCCTCAAATGCTCCCCCACCTTCTTTTTTGAAATAGATCACTCACTGTACCTGGATTTCATCAGCTAGGCAAGACTAGGTGACCAGAGAGTCCCGGGGATCCTCTTATCTATGTTTCTCCAGTGCTAGGATTATAGGCAGATGCCACCATGTCTTGCTTTTTACAGAGGTGCTGTGATTCAACCTCTGATTCCTATGTTTGCATGGCAATCACTTTACTGAATGAGCCATCTCTTCGGCCCCAACACTTCCTTAGTAGAAGGTTTATTAATACAATTAAAATGTGTGACATGGTGTGTGGACACCAAGAATACATGACTGACCAAAAAAATATGAACACCGAGTTCTTTGGTCATTGAATTTCAAACAAAAGCAAACACTGAGTTGCTGTACACTTGCTCCAAGACGCCTGTGGGAGAGGGAGGGCGTACGGAACAGATTACAGGACTTTACCTACCTAGAGCCACACACTCCTCTTCACTCATCTTCTTTATGCTGAGCACATCCTTCTCATACTCTAGATATTCCAGGAAGGTTTTGACAGGCAGCACTCCGTCTGTATCCTCAGAAAACCGGACAGAGGTCTTGGTATTTTCTTGTTTGTACTTCTCTAATAAGGCCCGGAGCTTTGTGAGTTCCTTATCGTCCAGCCTCAGCAACACAGCCAAGTCCTTTAAAAGTAAGAGTAGGCCTTGTCTCTATGAATTGCCACAAACACTAGCCCCTTATTGGAGTTGAGATTCAAGGCCGTTGAGCAATGGTGGCCTTAAAAAATTAGTGTAAAATATTACAGAGGTAATGTACTGTTTCAAATGTTAGTTTTAATGCCATTTCATGAGTATGATGTTATGTAAGTAAACTAACCTTGAAAAACTATATACTAGTAATAGTGCCATTTTAGGAAATTTCTTTAGAGTACTATATTTACTTCTAAAGTTAGGACCCTAATAAAAATGTATTATATAACAGAAAATATCACAAAGTATATAAATGTAACTGAACTACACATGGCTGCATGTCTCTGTGCAACATGAATAGTACGCCATAAACACACCCCATATTGTGTCTCCTCATAGGTCTTCTTTGCAACCAGAGACACAAAGATGTCAAGTGCCCCAGGACACTCTGGTCACCTAGTCTTGCCTAACTGATGAAATCCAGGTACAGTGAGTGATCTATTTCAAAAAAGAAGGTGGGGAGCATTTGAGGAAGACCTCCGACAATGACCTCTGAGCTCCAGCCTTTCAAACCATTTCACACAGAATATATGAAGACACACGACCTGACGTTATCAGTTTTTTTTTTTTTTTGAAAACCTGTAAATCTTTCATAGCAAGGAAAGCCTTTTGCTCAGTGCTACACAACTGAAACCACAATCAGACACATTGAACTCCATTTGTTTTGTTTTTTTTTCTTTTTGAGATGGTGCTTAATTACTCTGTCTTCATTTCTGGACTTGTGATCCTCTCTCTGCCTGCCAAGTAACTGAGGCTCCAGAACAGTAACACCATGCCGGGATACCCATTTTCACCAGGCACATTCAAGAGCATCTGCTTTTGATGAGAGGAACCTAAAAACTGTACAAACAATTCTTCCTGTAAACCTCTCTCCATCAACTCAGGCATTCCTGAAGTTCACAATTACTGAAGTAGATAGCTTGATCCTAAAGATCATAATTTTTAATGGTAATTAGAGAATACCACTATGAATGTATTTTAACACTAAAGTGTTAAAATCTAAAATCCCAAAGACCAGAAGATATCAGAATGTATTCTTTCATTTTTCAGTTTAATATTTTTTATACAGTTGTATATGTAACCTTACCTTTTAGTAAGACAGGCTAATTTTTAAACAAATATTACTGATGACAAATCAGTAATATTATGTGTAATATTATCAGTAATATTATCAGTAATATTATCAGTAATATTACTTGGCAAATCACTAGAATCATTTTAATAAACCTGCCTTGGATAAGCAGAAGACATGGGGCCTCCAGGTTGGGCAACCCATACTAGGGGACAGTTATCTGAGAGAAAGAAAGACATTCTATCTCTCAAGTTTCCATTCAGGGAAACTCTGAATGCACCTTTAGAGCAACTACTGAACTATACTGAAGACTAAAAGGGACTGTTCTCACGACTTGATGTCTTACACAGACAACATCTGGTACAGTTATCTTTAATACTCTGATGTGAGAGAGACGATTTTAGAATTGTATTTCCATGTATAATTCACAAAAGAGAAAGCAGCATTAATTTACTAACAATGCAGAACTGACCTCTTCTTTGGCAGAATCTTTCTTTCTTTTTCTTTCTTTTTTTTTTTTAAGGCGGGTTTTTCTGTGTAGCCCTAGTTGTCTTAGAACTCTCTCTGTAGACCATGCTGACCTCAGACTCATAGATTACCTACTTCTGTCTCCCAAGTGCTGGGATTAGCGGTGTGAGCCACCACCACCAAGCTTGGCAGAATCTGTTTTACATTTTCCTTAAAACATGGCTACTAAGAACGCTCAGCAAGTGAGACCATGGTCTGCATTCAGTCTCTGGAACTCGTGGAGGGTGGAGAGAAGCAACTGCAGACAGTTGTCCTCTGACCACCACATAAGCTATGGCAGTCTGCACCACACGCACAGGCACACACACAGTAACAGTGACATGGGAAATGCACCACACCCACACGCACAGGCACACAAACAGTAACAGTGACATGGGAAAGTCAAGAAATGATAGTTTTGCCACATCAGAAAACTGAAGTTATTGTTATTATGAAGTTTTCAAACTATCATTTTAAAAGTCACCTGTGGTGGCTTGAATGAGAATGGCCCCCATAGGCTCACAGATTTGAATTCTTGGTTTTCAATTGGTCGACTGTTGGGGAGGATTAGGAAGTGTAGCCCTGTTGAAGACTCACTGGAGGAGGGCTTGGAGGTTTCAAAAGTCCAGCCAGGCCCAGTCTCCCTCCCTCCCTGCCTGTGGATCAGGATGTAAGTAAGCTCTCAGCCCCCCAGGCCTGCCTGTATGCTGTCCACCATGATAATGATAGACTAACCCCTAAAACTGTAAACAACTTTCTAACTACATACTTTCCTTTATAAGAGTTATCTTGCTCCTGGTGTCACGTCAAACAATAGGACAGTGACTAAGACATCATCTTAAAAAATTGTCAAGAAAAATCTAAGGAGTCTAAAACTGTAAAGATCAATTAACTATGAGATTTAATATTTTTGTATTTTTACAAAATATAAGTCTAATAATATAAATTAAGCAGCAAAGGGTAAAAAGGAGGCCTGATAGAGAAAATACACCTTTAAGCTCTTAAAAACAATAAATCCACCCCAAACCTTTAATTTTCTGTTTATTAAAAAAATTAAGAATTAAAAATACTCAAAGGGATTACGGTGCATAATAATAATATTTGTGGTTACTCACATTATCGGAGAATGGTGTGTCTGACTGAAAATCAAGAGAATTTAACTGACTGACAGATTCATAAAGATGTAGTAACTTCAGTTTACTGGCACAAAGCTGCAGCAGTCCTTCATCGACAGACTCCAACTCTAAAAGGTGGAGGGAAAACATAATAGAGGTGTTTAGCAGATTCATAATGCTAAATGATGTCATGATCTCTTAAATTTGTAATTCCTTAATAGGCTAAATACTGATATGTTTAACCTATCATAGAGTTGGCAAGCATAGATAATTTTTCCATTACACTAAAATGTCTAACTTTTAAGTGAAATAACATTTTCTAATAAGGGAAGAAGATGTACAGAGCAAGAATAAGAGATTTTTGAGTGGTACCTTTTGTGTGTGTGGTTTTTTGAGACAGGGTTTCTCTGTGAAGCCCTGGCTGTCCTAGAACTCTCTCTGTAGACCAGGCTGGCCTCAAATTCACAGAGATCTGCCTGCCTCTGCCTGCGAATGCTGGGATTAAAGTGCATGGCCACTGCTCGGCCTGTGGCACTTCTATTTACAGAAAAGTCTTTGGAAATCCTGGGCTTCATCCCAGTGCTATGCACTCACCGTGCTCACTTGAAGACACACGGCTGTCAGGCTGCCTGGCTCTGCTTATTATCAAGAGGGTCAAAGACAATGATGTTCGGCCAGAAATCATGGACTGTGACAAATGCATCTTCAAAACAGCCTGGCGAAAAGATCTAAAGTAGGATTCCACTGATATCCTCCCAATAATTGGCTCATTTTGCTTAAGATTAACGCTGAGACACACTTCTGTATGATAGCTTAAGTATTTCTCACTAATGTAAAACAAATATATATTCTTTAAAAAGGCAGATGAGGAAAACTTGAAGACCTCTTATTTAAAACAAAGCTGGGCAGGGGTGGCACACGCCTTTAATCTCAGCACTCGGGAGGCAGAGGCAGGCGGATCTCTATGAGTTTGAGGCCAGCCTGGTCTACAAAGCTACACAGAGAAACCCTGTATTAAGTGTATGGAGTAAGTACCGGCCTATCCCTCTACCTACCACCTATCACCTGTCAGTCATCTATACATTAATATGTGACAGCATCATACATCCCACAAGGAAATACATGATCTGAAGTGAAACTGTAACAGTATCCGTTACCTTGGTTTTTCAAGGTGTCCATTAAAGTCTGAGTCACATTTCTAAGGCAGGAAAATGATAAGCGTTCACTGGCCAAAATGCTTTCCAGAGCCTACAACAGTGAGGAATTCTAGTGATTATAGGCAAATTTGTACTCATTTTATACATTGTATCTTTGCAATCCCCAAGTCAATACACACACCTGGAAATTCAAGTTATATCAAGAGTGCTATGTAACCAATCCTATGTCCAGACTGAGAAGGAAATAACTAGAGGGCAACTGCTGGGTCACAGAATGGCCATACAACATGGAGAGGACACAGCTATTCCCCAACAGAAAGTCTGAACTGGCCTCTACTAGGAATAAATGAGAAGCAGAGAGGTGACTGGCATGCTAGTTATAAAAGCTGACAACGTCACAACCACTCGCTGGATATGCACACGGCAGGCTGACACTGCCCCCAAGGCTAGCTGACACAGTATCCATTCTAACCCTCATTCTCAACCCATCCAGATGTTTAAACATCTTCATTCACAGGCTTTAAAATACCTCATGATACCTCAGCCAGGTATCATGATTCCCTAGCAGCCAGGGAAGACATCAATGAATCAGGAACAGTTAAAGTTCATATTTATCCTTTTATACTAGCATATTAAACTGGACTTTAACTGATGGACACACAGTTTAAAAGCCCTAACCTAAGCTCTGGTAGGACATAGGACTTCCAGCACTCAAAAGGCAGGGGCAGGCCGACATCTGTCAGTTCTATGTAATCCAGAGAGCTACATAGTAAGACCCTATCAGAAAAAAGTAGACTACAGATAAATATCAGTCTTATAACACAATGACTTTTACGTTTGAGGGAGTGAAGGGGGCGTAGAAGGTGACTCACAAAACTACCAGTCTTATCATGAGAACAGAAAGAAGGTGAGCAAACAGACCAGTATTCAGGGTAAACGCAACCCTCTTCCATCCCGCCAACAAGCAGGCTGGTGGGAGAGCACACTGTCTCTCCTCCCGATTCAATCTCCTAAGTCTTTATTGAACTCTGCCTTTCCTCTAGTGTTGTAAGCCAACAGACACTTTGGTTTTTCCAGCACCTTAAATAAAATCCATGTTTTTGTGTACGATTTGATAAAAAAGAGAATCCTTCCTAAGACAACTTGTAGCCTGTCATCACTGAGCCCTGCTGGGATGGGTGGGAAGGATAATGATAGCATCCAAGAGAGAACTCCTGGTTTATGTCTTTTTCTGTTTGTTTACTCCCTCAGATGGCTACCTTATCAAAACATCATGTTCAATAGCTGAGATATCTGTCCTGAGGAAAATGGAAGCCAATGAGCAGTCAATGGAATGGAAATTAGAGACTTCCTTGCTCTTTAATAAAACAGAGTATTTTTAATGACTCCAACACAAATCACTCACTTCCCATCAGTTTCTCCCATATAGGTAGTGGTCTCTGCCCGTGGTCCTGGCATGCAGCTCCTCTAGTTTCTGATGGTAATCTCCTGAGTGACAGGTGCTGGGAGGGTCTGTTCTAATGACTGGTCTTGGCCCCTGCTCCTGGAACAGGTGTGCTAAACCCCTACAGAGCAGCTGGGAGAAAGCTCTGCTGTAACATTTAGCATTTGCCCCCAGATTCCTGATACAGAACTCCTGAGACCTTTGTAGCTCCATGGGAGAGAACACAACACCTGTTTCAATGAGGTAGGCTCCGGCGCAGTCTCAAGATGGAGCTAGTTACCATGGCAACCAGTCAGGAGATTAGAGAATTATAATTTTAGCCCCACTCCTAACCTCTGGGGAGGAGAAGCACTTAAGGATAAGTTGACCAATAATAATCAATGATGCAATCAATCACACCTAAGTAATGAAACCTCCATAAACTCTTGCAGGGATAGAGGGTTTGGAACTTGAGATGACTAAGGCTTTATACCATGCAGAGGCTTCTGGAGGGGACAGGGAGGACACACCCCCTCCTCCACAAGCACTGCCATGTGCACCTAGCTAGTTATCAGTATTCTTTATGTTTCAACATATACATACAAGAATTTCCCCAAGTTCTGGGAGCCACTTTAGCAAACAAAAGTAAAGGACAGGTCATACATAATTCATAGCGGGTCAGAAGTATAACAATCTACTAGTTGTGGGGGAAAGTTTTATGGGCCTGAGCCCTCCAGGTCAGTAGAGTTCAAGTGATCTGAATGTCAACAATGAGGCTGACAGCACTGTGAAGTGCTGAGGCCGTGGTGCATGGGACTCACCAGGAAAAGCGCAATTAGGAGAAGCAACCTCTCGTCCCCTAACCGAGCCTAGGAAATGCACAGCCCAGAACCCCACTCTCAGGTGTGCAGGAAGCACACACAGGGAAGACCATGCATCGCGGTTTCACTAAGAAACTAGAAGCAACCTGAATGGTTCAATGGCAGGAGAGTGAGCTGCAGCATGCACATTAGAGGGCTGCACTGCAGTTCCACTCCGCATGCGTCGCACACAGCAACACACTGAAAACAAGTCACAGAACACAACAGACAACAACACGTCTCCAATTATACAAAGCGGCAAACACATCAAGACGCTTCGGAGGAGACGCACAGAAATGAAGTGCTGGAAAGAGAACAGCAATGCTCATCAGGATGGGAGGCAGGTGGGCACTGAGGAGGGACAGCTGCTGTGCTCCTGAGTTTGTGTAAGCTTCTATTTCCTACGGTGGTAGCTGTATACCAGTGCTTATGTTATTATGTTTCCATTATCCCAGGTTTATGTGTGTGTACAAAGCATATGCAATCACATATATGGTAATATTACTTGTTTGTTTTTCTTTAAAGAGAGACACTAGATACTCCAACATGGGGCTGTGAAAATGAATTGTTCTCAGGACCAAGTGATGTATCAGTTTCTCAGCAGGAAAGTTCACTTACTATACACACTTACTTGTCTCTTGGTTGCAGGGTACTTAATATCAAGGATCAACTCCTTTATTTCCGTTTCAAATGAGTCTATAATGAGAAAATCAGGTACGGTAAGAAAATGAGCTAATGCACTTTCTGTCACTCTAAAGGATGCACAGGCTCCCTCGAATTATCATCTTACTGAGAAGTTTTAATAACCCCAAGACCAGTGGTTCTCAACGTGAGGGTCATGACCCTTTGAGGGGTGGGAGTGACCCTTTCACAAGGGCTGCATATCAGATATTTACACTATGACTCAAAACAGTATTGAAACTACAGTTATGGAGTACTACTGAAAATAATTGTGGGGTCACCACAGCATGAAGAGCTGAATTAAAGGGCTGCAGCATTAGGAGGGTTGAGAACCACTGCTGTAGATGCACGACATCCTTTCAGAGCACTGACAGATGTCACGTCCCTCATCTCATCCTGGAAAAGGGTTGAGAGAGCTCACAACAGTCAATCACTTGGCTGCACTCACAATGCTGTGACACTACTTTTTTTGATCAGAGGAACCTACCAAGCCCGGGTGACTTGGTTTTCAGCAGGGCTGCCAGTTTCTTCACCAAGTGCAGGTCCTTGGCTCTTTCACTCTTCTTATCACTAAAATAATAAACACAACTTATTATACATGCATTTGTGTTCTTTCTAATACTGATGCAACTTTTCTTTTTCATATGCTTCCCATTTAACTTCAAAGGGATCATGTAGTGATAAAACAAACCACAAAACACTAACTATGAAACAACAACAAAAAAAGACTTAAGATAAAGAACTATGCAAAATGTGCACAGGGAAGTCATAGCAGACACAAAGCAACTCTTACCTCAGTGCTAAGTGGAAAGGCACATTCACCGTTTTCACACTTGCAGACACCGGGTCAACAAGACAGATCTGGTAAGTCTGAGGCTGCCAACTCTGACTTGTCACATTGTTTAAGCCCATTATTTTGTAGCCAGGATACAGCAGCCTAAGGCAATCACATACCAGTTTGTGGTTATCATCAGCAGGAGGTGAAATCCCACAAGGTGCTCTGACATCTTCATCAACTCAGGGGTATCCACTGGGCAAATACACACTGATGCCAGAAAGCCAAGTGAGGCAGAACTAACTCAGATGGAGAAATCTACTTTCTTCAAAGGTTCTAGGAAACTGCATGAACACAATCAAACCTGCAGCCAATGGTAAATAAAGCCCGTACCTTGCTTAGTTAGCATCACCCGTGTCTCTCTGTGACAGTGAGCGCCAGGGCTTGCAGCTTACCTGCAGTGCTTACCCACGTTGAAAGCTCCCACTCTCGGTCCTTGCTGTGTGTTCCACACTTCCAAAATTCCCCTTCGAGGTGCATAGATCACGAGGAACTGAGCTACTCGACTGGGACCTTGAGTATTTCCAAAGGGGGACAAATCCCCCTTTTCTGGTACTCGTTCATGGAGGTCCTCTACGATTTGAATCCATCCGATCTGTGCATCTCGGTACCCTTTTAGGCAGAAAGAGTTGCTAATCAGTTTATTCATAGGGCTCAACAGTAGCTCCTCATGCACTTCTGACTATTTAGGGGAGGGAGGGCATCAAGACAAGCCACAGAAGCATGTTATCCTTTAATTCCTAGAGATCTTAAAGAAAAGGTTAAAAAGTAATAGCCTGTCACCAAAGCATCAAATTTTAATATTTCTCTATGTATATTTGCCTCAGATCACTCTTCTCTTTAAAAAGAAAGTACTGCAGACATCATCACAGTTTCCTGATTCCTCCCTGCCTGGGCTCCCATGCCCTTCCTTTCCTCTCTGTGAAAGATTCCTCACCTAAAAAAAACAAAAAAAAAAAAAAAAAAAAAAAAAAAAAAAAAGATCTGGAGACCGTATTAGTTTGGCTAGCTAAAATATAAGCAAAAGATCAAATTGTCTTCCTGCTATCAAAGCTCCTTGATGGTACAGAAGATGGAAAGCAGGAGGCAGAGTGGCATAAGGAAAATACTAATAGCTGGTGCTGTCCTGTTTGGGTGGCCCTCTTATAACTAAAATACACGGAAGGGACACACGTGCCTGAAGCAGTTGCAAAACGCAGGCAACAATGTCAGCAACAACAGTGGCCTTATAAAGGGAAAGGAGTGCTGCAGGGACAAGAGACTGACAATGACAGAATTGAAAGTGAAGTGCAGGACGGAGGAGGCGGCAAATGCCATGGGACAGCTAAGACGTGCCACACTCATTTACGCTGTGGAACATTTGTTTAATGGTGCAAACATGTGTTGCTTTCTTTCATGCTGTGTTTAACTCTGTAAAGCTGTGTTACTTTACCTGCCTAAAACACTTGATTGGCCTAATAAATAGCTAAATGTCCAATAATGAGACAGGAGAGAGAAATAGGTGGGCTAGTGGGCAGAGAGAATACACAGGAGGAGAAATCTAGGGAAGAGTGAGGAGAGAAAAGGAGAAGGACACTAGTGGCCAGCTGCACAGCCAGCCACACAACTTGCCATGGAGTAAGAAAGAAAGATATATAAAAAGCACAGAGGGAAAATGTAAAGAGAAACGGGATAATTTAAATTAGAAAAGCTGGCTAGAAACAAGCCAAGCTAACACCAGGCATTCGTAAGTAAGAATAAGTCTCCTTGTATTTATTTGGGAGCTGGGTGGCAGGCTCCCAAAGAGTAAAAAAAAAAAAAAAAAGAACCAATTACAACAGTTAAAAGTGCCTATGGTGAGCCAGGTGTTGGTGGCACACGCCTTTAATCCCAGCACTAGGGAGGCAGAGGTAGGTGGATCTCTGTGAGTTCGAGGTCAGCGTGGTCTCCAGAGCAAGTGCCATGATAGGCTCCAAAGCTACACAGAGAAACCCTGTCTCGAAAATAAAAAAAAAAAAAAAAAAAAAGTGCCTATGATGAGTTGGAGGTATAGTTCAGTGGGAGCATACACTAGGCCCTGGGTATAAAACCACAAACAACAAACCCAAACTAGCCAAACAAAAAGCCCATGCTTTAATTAATGATATAGCAACTAAGTACCAGCTGAGTGTTGCTGACCTGAGTTGACATTAAAAAGAAAAGTGATAGAGTATGGAATACTGTTACTAACCAAGAGCTGAAGGATGATAAAGTCGCTCAGCTATTGGGGTAAAAAGTGAGGCAACTTTTCCCTCCATTTCTGTAGGGAATTACCTTTCCACATCCGTATTGCAATCCCTCGAGAGACGTCCAACAAGATAACTCTGCCAAAATCGTCTGTGACTGCGGCCAGGGTGTTACAAGGAGATAGGCATATACTTTCTCCATGCCGTCTAGAATCTGGAAGTCCAAATCTGTCATTAAAGAGTAAATAAAAACTAAGATCACACTCAAAGATAGATATGTAGAATAATAAAATTCACAAATAAAATAGACTATTTCTAAATGAGGAAATAAACCTTGTCTGGATTGGTAACTTGTTGGGGAGTATTATTTTAAGGTGTGTTACTTTTGTTTATGCTGTGGAACACTTGTTTAATGATGTAAAGTTTGTGCTGCTTTTGTTTCTGCTGCACTTGTTTAACTCTGTGAAGCTGTGTTACTGTGCCTGTCTAAAACACCTGATGGCCTAATCCAGTGCAGAACGGTGCCAGAGAGAAACATAGGCGGGTCTGGCAGGCAGAGTATACACAGAAGGAGGAACGAGAGGAGGAGGAAAGGACTTCAAAGGCCAGCCCTCAGTCACCCGGCTACACAGCCAGACACAGAGTAAGAGCAAAGAATAAAAAACAACAATAACTCATCATAGTTGGCCTTTGCAACACAAACACACGAAAGAAAAGCATCCCCACAGCACTATTTTCTCCTTCCTGTTCTGAATAAGAGTCTTGTCACAGAAAACACACAACAACTCTGCTCCGGGATGCTCTTCGCCAACACAGGCATCTTCTGTCTCAGTTCTCCACATCTGCTCTCTGTCTAGGGCACACCTTGCTGCTGCCAAGGCATCTATCTATCTGTGATGCCTAGAATGGTAAGGAGCTTGGGCTGGACTGAGAAATGCCTAGGACATTAATAAGGCACACTTTGGGGTGTCTGTAGTGTTCTGCCACAGATGACTAGGTAATGAGGGCTCTGACCTTGAATAGATTAATCCCTTGACAGATTTATGACACGATGGCATTATTGGGAGGTGTTGAAAATCAGAAAGGGACACACCTAAATTGAATGCTGTATGTCACTGGTGTGTTTGTGTGTGTGTGTGTGTGTGTGTGTGTGTGTGTGTGTGTGTGTGTGTAGTGTCCTGGGGGTCACATCTTGCTCTGGTCTTTTCCTGGATTAAGAAGCTCTCCTCCGCCACATGTTTCCACTGCTATGATGTCCTCAAGAACACTGGACCAACTGACAATGGACTGAACCCTTTTGGAACTGTGAACCAAAATAAAACTTTCCTGCTTTAAGTTGTTTCTGTCAAATATTTTGACCTCAATAACACAAAAGTAACTAACCCCCTGTCTGAAGCAAGAACTTTCTAAAGTGTTTCTGCTAAAGTGTTATTGGCTTTATAACCAACTATAAGAATTACCAGTGCGCCAGAAGTAAACAGGAAATGAAAAGAGAGGGAGTTCACATAGACAAAAACCTTAACAAACTTGGTCACAATGATCTGAAACCCAAAAGGCCATTTGACTAATTTGTGTTATAACAGAGTAAGAGGGAAGCCTGGATACGGCTCAGTGCAGTGCTTGCCTTGCATGAAGGAGGTCCCAGGACTGTCAAGAAGAAAAGTGACTTTGAAACCTCTTTGTTTAGGAAGTAATGAATGCAAGCAACCTACAAACCCAAAAACTTGATCTTACTAACGTTAGCTTTCTCCTGGTGAGAGAGGAGAAGAGGAGCTGCGGTGTTACTTCCTTTTATGCTGTTTGTTATATTAGGTAATAAGCAACAAGTAAAAAGGAAGCCAAGCAAAAATCAAGCCTTCTCTTCCCAAAAATTAAAGTAACAACAAAAGACCCTCTATTCAAAGATACACTGCTATGTTCTTGAGTAAAACAAGGAAGGGAATCTAGTTCAGAAGAGTCACCCTCTTTAAGGAACTCATGATCTGGTTGAAAAAGAATTCCACATGAGGAGTTCTCAGGACCCAAGCGAGACTAAATGTAACAGCTGCTCACACCCCACCCCCCCACCAGGAGAGAGATTCGCTCAAAGACTTGCCTCACAGCTAAGGGAGTGGCTGGCTCCATTTTGGGCTTCTGCTTCTGGATGGTCTCTTCTTCGTGCTTGCTTTTCCAACCAAGCCAACCACTGAGCGGAGGGGACACAAATAAGTCAAATAAACCAGTGGACTAGTCTCAAGGGTCTTAGAGTGCAGAATACCAAAATCTAGGCACAATCAAGCCAGATCCAAACAGGATCAGCTAAAAATGCAGCTTCCTTACCTGGCAGCACTAAAGAGAGCCGAAGTCAGTTTACTTGCAACTGCAAGTGCGACATGGGATAACAGCGGCTGAGTGCTTCCCTGCAGAACAGTCACGAAGAGAAAACTGAGATAGGGAGCCTGTGTTCTAAAGGAGACTGACATAAAAAAGCAAGTTTCAAAGTCTGCAGCAGCAGCTCTCTCAGCAGCAGCAACAGAACTGAGCAAGACTAGGATTTATAGGTAAAATCGCTGGTAGCCCAAGGTGCTCCCCAAGAGTTTTGTCCTCAGCAATGCAAACTAACAAACACACTGCCTGGAGCAAGGGCTGCCTGTTGTGCTGAGCTGCTGCTGCTAGCCTAGAACCAACCTTTAGGGTTTCTCTCTTTAAACTGTAGCTTAATGAAAACCAAGGAGGCCAATAGAACAAGGCCATGGATGTCCCAACTGTACACAGCTAGCTCTTGCCCTTCCTTTTTCTTTCTCTTTCTCGCCTCTTTCTCTTTCTCTCTCTCTTCCTTTTTTTCTTTCTTTTTTGTTTTGTGAAACAGGGTTTCTCTGTATTGCTTTTGGAGCCTATCCTGGAACTTGCTCTGTAGACCAGGCTGGCTTCGAATTCACAGAGATCCACCTTTCTCTGTTTCCCGAGTGCTAGGATTAAAGGCATGTGCCACCAACGCCCGGCTCCTTTTTCTTTTTAAAGTAAATACGTATTTGTATGAAAGTAAAGAGACAGCTTGGCCCTTCCAGAGAAGGCTGCCAACTGTAACAGTTAACTTTCCTCTATTTCAGGAAAACAATTTTCAAAGCTTATATTAACTATAATGGGAACTTGCTCTGTCTCACAGCTCTACATTTATTCTAATCCCTGGTGGGTGGACATAATTAACAATCCGCAGCTGCACCAATATTTAAACAAAATGTAGCTGTCAAAAAACTTAGGGCTTCAGAGACAAAAAATGATTGGTTTTACCTTGGGTTTTTGTTGCACGCATACACACACACACACACACACACACACACACACACACACACACGGGTG